AGAGAGAGAGAGAGAGAGAGAGAGAGAGAGAGAGAGAGAGAGATATCGGTCGGCTAACGAGAACCGAAATCATATCTCGAAGGTAGGAAAATCAGCATGGTCAGCTGCGGGATGTTTGCCGCGTGGAATCAATTAATCACCCTCTAATATAGTCGCACCCGTGATTTATTCGAGTTTCTGGCAGGACCGACGCGCGTAGGAATTGGGAATCAGCAGAAGACGACGACGACGACGACGACGATATCAAATTATTCTTGGAGATTCGCTTTTGTGATTCACTCGGCCGTGCGATCCGACTCGACGAAAGTAGATTGAATCTGTGATGCGATTTCGCGCGCTCTATCTGCTTTTTTTACGGCTTATTTAATTGAGTCGTCTCGAAATTGTAACGGCGCGCTTTACTTACTTATATGTCGCAGTTTTTCCTTCGCGCGCGCGGAGTCGACAGTTTTGATTTTATCTATTATTCACCGAGCCGTAAGTGTCCCAAATTAAGAATCGGGTTATCGTGGCATACATAATTCGGCCTGTCTTTTACGACCAAGCTGTGTTATTTTAAACATTAACTCTTGTAGATACGCGACTTAATTCACACCGGGAATCCTATTTCGGCGAATTCTATTCCGCCGACGGTACTTTTAGATTTTGCATTATCGAATTACGTGTACGTGACCTCGTATACGCGTTTCGTAAACGCCACACTACGGCGGGAATAGATTCGCGACCGCGAATGCAATTTTTATTCTCCATCGATCTCGAGTAAATCGTATTCTTTCGAGACGAACGTAAACTCTGGAAATAGCGTAATACCCGCGGAATGTATGTCGATTGCAATCGCGCCCAGCGGAGCGGTCGGTACGAGAAAGAGAAAGAGAGAGAAAGAGAGAGAGAGGCTTTTAGAACGATTATTTAACGCTTTCAATCTCCCGAGACGGGAACAATTAAACGCTCGATCCAATTAGAATCGAAAGAGTCCCCATCGAAGGGACTTCAGAAGGACGGAATCTCGGTTTCCACCCTCGACTCTCTTCAACGTTTCTGCTTCCGCAATATCTCATTCGACGGCGTCGCGACGCCGCCGCTAATTTCCTCGCTTCGTCGTTCGTGAAGGGAACTGCAATTGCAGCGCGGGCCGGTCCGCGATGGCGCCCGCGATGCGCTGATATATTCTTCTTGAAATGCAAATGTTCCGACGCCTTTAATAACTCGGAATTTAATCAGCGACAAAGCAATTTATACAAAAGATTCCGGACGCCGGCGACGCGCCCGACGTCGTCGCTGGACGCGCGGCGCCGTCCGCGACTACGACGACGACGATGACGATGAGAGACATGATCGCGAGACGTGTTTTGGACGACAGACAGCGAGGAAAACAGAGAGAAAGAGAGAGGGGAAAGAGAGAGAGAGAGAGAGAGAGAGAGAGAGAGAGAGAGAGGGGCGATCTGCCGACTTTCCTCATTGCAAAACTTGGGTCACGTTTACAGTCGGATTAACGGAGAGATGGATGTGATATCGAGTCCTTGCGTGAAAATGTTAGGATTAGCACGTCGATTAAGCACCGTTACGTATCGATCGTGTGCTTGCGCGCGCGCGCGCGTTCATCATCGATGATGGAATGACCTTTATTAGTGATACTTGTACATCACAACTGTCCGCGACTTCGAGGCCTGATATATCACGGATCTTAAAGCCAGACTGATGATGATAAATCCCGAGCTTTATGTTACGCGGTGACCCGTTGCGATGTTTTATCGGATCCGCGAATGATGCATATGTTAATCAGCGTGATCGAAGGGGCGAAGAGACAAAGGAATGGCAGAGGGTAGAATATTTTAGGCGGGTTTGTGTGAGCTGTGGAGTGCCTGTCATTTGGTGCCGCCGAGATAAATTCTTAGGGCTCGAGCAGATGAGCCATTTTGTGGCGCCACAGAGAAGCGCGACTTAGTCGCGTGCACGCCTAATTTTGTGGTGCTATAAAGAAGCACGGAGTGATATATACGAAAGCGCAAACCTGTCACAAAATCGAAAGGGACACAAAGACACAAGAATTCTATATCGCACTGAAACTCTGTGCCTTGTGTTTTTCCGGTCTTATGACAGATTTCTTGTGCATTATATATATGTATATAATAGAATCATTTGAAGCATTTCTTTGCGGTGCCACAATGTCGCGTGGCATTATAAAAGTAGCCCATCTGTATAAGTCTATGATGTTTGTCTGTGGCGCCACAAAGTGGCTTGTTCGTTCGAGCCCTTATTCGCCTCTCGCGTGTCACGCGGGGGCGAGTGGAATGATTACGAAGATGTTCGCGGACACTGTTGGTTCACTCGGCCCCTCCTCCGGTTCGTCCTCGGCAAGAGACACTTACCCACGTAACCATGTCGGCGTTAGTCCTCGGGCACGACCGAACGCAAACAACTGGATGCCGAAACCGTGCGACCGCGCACTTTTATAGAGAGCGCCTAACTCGCG